AAAGTCAGTTGTGGTAAGACAGAATACATGTGCATGAATGAGAGGGAGGGAAGTGGAACAGTGAGGTTGCAGGGGGCTGAGGTCAAGAAGGTGCAGGAGTTTAAGGATTTGGAGTCAACAGTCCAGTGTGATGGGGAGTGTAGGAAAGAGGTGAAGAGGCCAGTGCAGGCGGGTTGGAGTGGGTGGAGAAAGGTGTCAGGAGTGTTGTGTGACAGAAGAGTGGCAGCAAGAATCAAAGAAAAGGTGAACAAGACAGTAGTGAGACCAGCTATGCTGTATGGGTTAGAGACTGTAGCAGTGAGGAAAAGAGGCACAGATGGAGGTAGCAGAGATGAAGATGTTGAGGTTCTCTTTAGGAGAGACCCGGATGGCCAGGATTAGGAATGAGCACATCAGAGGGACAGCTCAGGTCGGCTGGTTTGGGGACAAGGTCAGAGAGGCCAGATTGAGATGGTTTGGACATGTGCAGAGGAGGGCTAGTGGTTATATTGGTAGAAGGATGTTGGAGATGGAGCTGCCAGGCAAGAGGTCAAGAGGAAGGCCAAAGAGGAGATATATGGATGTGCTAAAAGAGGACATGAAGTTAAATGGGGTGAGAGTAGATGATGTCAAGGATAGAGTTAGGTGGAAACAGATGATACGCTGTGGCAACTCCTTGTTGGACCCAGTTCTTTTCACCACGTTAACTCTGAGACGAGGCAGTCCGAGTAACTTCAAAACAGTGCTGATTTATTCAGTGGTCACAGGTAAAATTAACATTACATGCTCAGGAGTCTTTGCACCTCCAACATGCACGCAGGCAGCGGGTAGATGAATAGCCCTGAACCATAACAGGCCTATACATTATATCACCTTGGGCTAGCCCCATACTTCTCAGGGACGCCAAACAGTGACGTCTCCGGTGCCAGCTTTGCAGCTGACCATAGCAGTAGTCAAAGCATGAAGAAAATCAATGTGTGATTGTCTGTTGATTGTGTGGTGTGTATCTAAAACATTCTGACATGACATCTGGTGACATGTCATGACACTAAGCATAAGAAACCATTCTGTCTCCTAACCGTAATCACATTTCTATCTAGTTATCCGGGCAGTGCGGTGGTGCAGTGGTTAGCACCATTACCACCATTCTGTGTGGAGTTTGCATGTTCTTCCCGTGCTTGCGTGGGTTCTCTCCGGGTACTCCAGCTTCCTCCCACAGTCCAAAGACTTGCAGCTTAGGTGTCTCTGAATTGCCCATAGGAGTGCGTGTGTGGTTGTGTGTCTATGTGTTAGCCCTGCGATGGATTGGCGACCTGTCCAGGGTGTATCCTGCCTTTGCCAGATTGCCAGCCGGGATTGGCTCCGGCCCCCCAGGGACTAAGCAGTAGAAAATGAATGAATCTAGTTATCCTTGAACATGAGGAGTACCTTATGGGAATGACTAAGCATTTTACAGCCTGAGCTAGACATCCTGTCTACACTAAACATTTCTAATACATGACATGTCTAACCAATGTTTATCTGACTAAAAATACCTAACACCCTAAAGGGAACAACTGAAAGTAGAAGAAGAAGACATCCTGAAACTTAATCTGGCTCTTGATTCTTATCCACAGCGAGTTATATTGAGTGAGACTGCACAGACTATACTGCTGTAAATATTTACAGTGAGCCAAATAACCTCAGGTCATCTGTAAAGTGCTCACTGCGTCTGTCTGCTCCTACAATGACAATGATGTGTTTGACACCCTGAAAGGAAGAAGACAATGTCTGATGAAGTCAGAGGTTTGAAAACAACAGACCGAGTTAAGACAATGGTTTCAACAATGCGGCTCTTTGTTTCTATGGGGTTTATTAGAAAACCACCAGGATTCAAACACCTCGTCTACCTGAATCTGACTCTTGATGTCCACAGTGCAACACGGTGACATTGTAGCAGCTGGGAAAGAACACAGATAAGATGATATTTAACTGGTCTGAGACCTGTTGGTTCCTGTTTAATGTCACTGTTTCTGAGAACTGAGGGGGATGTGTTTTAATGAGAATGTGTCTCCAACAGCAGCAGAGCTGTGGAGGTGTTGCCCGCTAATGACCAGATAAACCTCAGAAACACACTGATCAGTGTCTGACTGAGCTGTATCTGGAGTTAGAGAACCAAATCTCCACAATGCCCCTTTTGCACATTCATAGTAACACACCTCTTGATGTTGTTTTACAGTTAAATATTTGCAAAAGTCGTGCTCAACCATACAACTAGAAACGTTTGTTGTCTGATACTGTTGGACAGTAACACTGTGTCTGTGGCCATGCTCTCTGCAGACTGCAGAAGAGACTCCTAAGAAAAATCATAGTGACAAATACATCTAGTGACTGTAGGTTAAATAGAGTTTGTATGTCAGGAGCAAATGAGGAAGTGGTGTGATGGTGTTATAGAGCTACACAGTGTGCAGAGGAAGGAAAGTGTGGTGAACATATGGGTCAGTAACATATTAGATGGCGCCAAAGTGTTTTCATATCTGTGTTTAGATCCACTGTGAACAGCGATGTTCAGCACAAAAGAGAGAATCTTCATTAGAGGAGAGAGAACAGAACAGTGAAAGCTTGTGTTCTGTGGAACCAGTGTTTTTTACTTCTATTTCTACCATGTGCTACTAGTCACGCTACTAGTCACTCTACTACTCTCCCTATTGGACAAAAAGCTTTTTACAGCAATCTTTAAAATGCTCTTAAAACAGACTGTAAAACCTTAATCTAACACTGGACATATGATACTAGAAGAGTAAATGTAACGATGAGAGATGAAATTAGACTGTTGTGTCTTTGGTTTGTTGATGGTGGCGTAGAGGTCGCTGGCGTCAGTGGAGGCTCCAGCAGAAAAGGAGGAAACTTTCACTGTGCTGTAGGTCACTGCATTGCCTTCACCTTTACTCTGAACCAGGGAGGCAAATAAATACAATAAGAAACACAACCACAATGCAAAATGACACAAAATGCTGTTGTTCTAAAAATCAGGAATTGGTCACAACTAACAGCCGAGCTGTTCACTAGGCCGCAGCTTTGTTTTGTCATTAGATTAGCAGGTATGTTAGGAATGAATCTCACATGTTGGTCTGAAGGTGGTGCTGGAGGGAAGCTGGCAAAACATCAAAGTTTATCTACTCAGGGTCACATATATCAGCAGCACATTTCCTGTCAGTCTGTCAGTTAGTGGACCAACATGTAAGACAGACTGACACCACACTTCTTCCTCACGAAGTCTTTCTAGTTCTTGTACCATGCTAATTCTGAGAGACGAGGCAGTCCAAGTAACTTCAATACAGTGCTGATTTATTCAATGAACACAGGTAAAAATTAACATTACACGCTCAGGTATCTTGCACCCCCAATATGCACGCAGACAGCTGGAAGATGAAAGACCCCGAACCCAACAGGCCTGTACATTATATCTGTTTTGGGCTAACCCCATTCTACACAGGGACGTCAAACCGTGCCGTCTCTGGTGCCAGCCGTGCAGCTGGCCATAGCAATAGTCAAAACATGAAGAAAATCAATGTGTGTGTGTGTGTGTGTGTGTGTGTGTGTTGATTAAGTGGTGTGTATCTAAAAACATTCTGACAGGACATTCGGTGACATGTCCCGACATTAGGCATAAGAAGATATTATGATTATGATTAAACACGTCATACAGTAATCAACTCTCTATCTAGTTATGCTTGACCATAAACAACCTGGAGTAACTCATGAAAATGCCTAAGCATTTAACAGCCTGAGCTAGACATCCTGTCTACACTAAAAACATTTCTAATACAACAAGTACCTAACCAATATCTATCTGACTAAAAATACCTAACAATCACAAAAATACATAGGCTCAGACATCAGCAGTATAAACTGAGATTTTACCCAGGCTTTACTCCTGGTGATCTTGGTGTGGCTGATGGAGGTGTAGGTAACTCCACCCTCAGGATTGGTCTACACAAAGAAGACAACCACAGGTGGACTAGAACTGAAGGCAAGACAGGGCAGGATATGGTATAGAGACAGGACACTGCAAATAGATGTAGAAGGTTTTACATGATTAGTGTGTTTGAAGGTATGAAGTGTGGGTATTTTCAACTTATACAGTTGAAAACAAAACAAATGTAAATAAAGGAAGGGGGAAACATTGGGTCATGAGGGGGTGGCAAGGATGATTTAAACCATAAAAATAAGTAATTTAAGAGAGGGTTGGAATATTAGGAACACCTCTGAATATCATGGAGTCTGATACAACACCACCTTTCATTATGACCTCAATAATAAACATATTATTGAATTTATGCATTTATGACAATTTCACTAAAGACAGAAACACAAGTGGCTGGTGAGTTTATAAATAATGCTCTAATCCAAAGCAGCTGAAGTGTGCAATTGGTTGACAATAAGACTAAATACGAGGAGTTAGATGTTGCTGGAGCTGTGAATACATGTACTCACCACTGAAGCCAAAATACACTTCTTCTCCTCTGCTGTTTTCCAAAAAAGTTCATACATCATTCACAACATCATGATCTCATCAGGCTATGAAGTAATGGACACCCTGTGCACAGAACAAGTGTATGAATTGCCTCAGTATGAGGAGCTTGAGAGCAGCTCGTTGTTCTTGCATGTACACGACCGTGTCACCATCTGGCTGCACAGCTGGGAGGGACAGTAGCTGTTTCAGTGATGTCAATTAGTTTTTGGCCACATGGGGGCAGTGAAACAAACTAAAGTACATTGATATATTATCACCTTAAACCTACATGTTAAAGAATTGCTTATTTACACACTGAACAAGCAAAGAACAACATTAATATTCATTTGGAGTCACATATAAGTGAGTATTGCATTTGATTCTACTCAGAAGTGACAATGAGGCACTTTCATAAAACCTTTCCCAATAAATTCAGGTTAATTGTGAAAGCTGATTAACAATGACGATCATAAATGGCCCCAAAGACTCACAATTGACAACAAAGAAATCAAACTATCACTACACAATGACTACAAGGGATCTGATTCTACGCTACCAGTCCAAGGTTTGGACACACTTTCCTACTGAATGAAATGAGATAGTGTCCAACCCTTGGACTGGTAGTGTAGAAGGGGCCTCTTACCTGTGTGTGCTCAGTAGCTCATTCTTTTATAATTCATCCATAGTGGCATTACATAGTTAACACAGTGATGAATTCGCTGGCTGAACTATTTGCCCTATTTCCATGTGATATTTTGAAACCTATTGATCTAAAAACAAATATTTGTACTGGCCCTGTATGACTGGACATTTTAACCTTGACCTAGTTTGTTTGATCAGCTAATTCCTTTAATGTTAAAGGTGTATGCAGTGAGGAATACTAGTGAAAACAGGAGGCAAAAATGTTATTTAATATCAAATATAAATGTATCTAATATACAGAGACCCATGACATATTTTTGTAGGCCAACCCAGAAGTTAGCATCTCCCTGGTTCCCTCGACAAAAAGCAAGTGGGATTTTTCCATAGGATTCTGGATTGTTGCAGAAAATAAGCTCTGTGACAAACAATAGTTTATCTTAACTTTGTTGAAATACTTCATTTCAGGTATTGCATGGTCCAATGATGATTGCTGGAAAGAGATGAGACGCTTTGCTTTGACAAAAATGAGAGACTTTGGGATGGGCAAGAAGGTAATTGAGGACAAGATCATTGAGGAGTCTCACTACCTCATGGAAGTGTTTAAGAAATTTAAAGGTAAGTATTTTATTACTACCACCTTTGTAACTAGCTTTTGGAAAGTACTTTATAAACAAAGTTATTATTGTCACTCTAAAGCCAAGCAGCATGTGACATAAACCGTTTTTTTGTTTTGGCCAAAGTGGACCAGCTGCATTTTATGATACATGTTCATAATTTTATTGTAGATATTGATAAAGTGTTCTCCCTCTGGACTTAGGGCTATTTATGTGTTCAGTTGTTGCTTGTGTGACATTAGGGCTGTTTCATGATGTGAATATAATCACTTATGTTGCACTAACACTAAATGGTGTACCTGGTCATGTCATAAGTCTAGAAGCTGAACTGAACAGATGAAACATGTAGTTCAGAGTGACTCACTGGCCTCAAGCAGTCAAAACAAACAGGTACTGTGCTCCCGGGAATCCAGCGTTGATGAACTAATCATTCACTGCTGCAGGGGCTTCACAGGCCGGCTGCTTGTAGATTAGACCTGGTCAGGTAAAACAG